CTCTCTCTCTCTCTCTCTCTCTCTCTCTCTCTCTCTCTCTCTCTCTCTCTCTATCTATCTATCTATCTATCTATCTATCTATCTATCTCTCTCTCCAAACATGGCCAACATAATCGGGTGTTGGACCACTACCCAGATCACCCACGATACACGATGGACAGTGGATATGGTTGAAAGTGTTGCACAAACGTTGACATGTGTATTCAAAGTGTGTTGTTAGAACTTCCATTGCAGCAAGGTCTTAAAACAAAACCTGCACCGCCTGTGCAAGCTCGTGTATAAAGCCCCGCTTCCCACTGCCTCTCCTCTTTGTCGAAAGTAGTTGTCCACCGTTTTTTGTGATGTGATCTCTCATGACACGTGCTATCCCCCAAGGTGCTGCCAATGTTTTGTACCATTTTGCCGCTGCTGCATACTGTGTAATGCGATCGAGAGTTCTTCGACGAAAATAAGTAACGGTTTCTTCTTTGATGCGCAAAATCTCGACAATTTGAAGTATATCGTGTTTCGAGATCGTGCCGAGCAGTTCTTGCAACTTCCTTATCAACTCTTCTGTCATGCAACATACATAGACTCCACAATCCTCACTGTTAGTTTGTTGAGGAGACCTCGCATGGACCACTCCACGACCAATTACATCTCTGCAAGTGTTCTATGACTGGTCCACCATTTGGCGTGTGACATGTGGACCCCTTCTCTGATCGTTGAGATATTCATGCCACATTAAAGTCCGCAACGCCTTCCAATCCGGACTTGCATACCCTTGGTACGAGTCAACGATTATAGCGATGAGACATGTGTCGTCTGTCCATAAATCCGTAACATTCAACATTACGAGCAACATCCAGTGATGCTTGTGGTTAATAGGAATAAGCACCACCGGTGCAGCCTCCAAGTCTTTACACAGTCGATGAATTTTGTTTTTCCGACTCTTCACACGAGACTCCAATCCCCTTTTCACTGTATCCACTTTCAGGTTTGCGAGCACCTCCGGATGCCAAAAAGTTGTGCACACATACACCGATGTGGTGTCCTTGCCCTGGAGTTCCTCTTCATATACTGACTGCATATGCATGTCCATTATATTGTCATTCAGCCAGTTCCCGACAGCCAAGCACATTAGGTCTGTGTTGCATACCGTATAGGTGCAGACCAGAACAAGAACCGACCTTTCAGTACAAAGTATAAGATAGCACAGCGGAAGGCTTAGATACCAGTGATCCGAACAATCAATGTTGTAATGCAGCCCTGAACATACATCATCATCATCGTTTCATA